ATCTAGTGAGCAGTTAGGTCTTACCGCCTATCTCCTCAAGCGAAGCAAATAAAACACCACATGTCATTAAAAACCACCCCTCGGGGTTGGGGGGTCATAATTGGCTGTTGATTCAAGCCCTCTGCTAGCTGTTGATCATGGACCCGGGTGTCCATGCATTGGATACATGACTGTCACACATGCAGCATACGCTATGGCGCGGTTTCCGGTTTAGGGCCGGTGAGTTGTATTTTCGAGAGTCACGGGGGAGCCAGCATTACTCGAGTGAATGCTCTCACCTTCCCAAGTCACCCCCAAAACATAGACGCTTGCCCTTCTTCATGCAGGAGCTTCGCCTGAAGTCACGCAGCAAAAATTGCAGGATGTATTTTGAAAACAAGCTGCGCGAACACACAATTTCAAAGGGATTTCCAAAAACCCTAAACTCCAAAAACCTAAGCAATATCCGGGAGATCCTGAAATAAAGATTCTCGTGTAGTGGTTTCTGCAATAGGTTCCGTATTGGAACCCCCAAATTTGCACTTGTGTAAACCAACACCTGCCATGGTGTAACTGGGTTGCTGTTAATAAAGGAACCCAAATAAAATTACTGTAGCAAGGAAGCCCTATGATTTACTATATACCCACAGTATGGTAACAACATTTAAGTTCCTTAACAGCAACCCAGATAATTGCCGTATCCTTTGTCATTTACATCGTCAAAGTCAAGCTGTATCTACCTACCCGCATATATCCTTGTATACCCCGATATACATACGCCGTATGTAGCCCTGTGCAATGCCTAGGAAGCCAAAGCTAAACATACTACCCTAAAACTAAGCCCCCTGAACCCTAAAACTCAAACCCTAATGTTGGGAACCTATAAATCGTCACCGGGATGCAGGAACTGGGCATTGCAGGGGCAGCCGCCATTCACGGCCAACTGAAGTGGAGGGGTTGGCGTGTGGGGTTTAAGGTTTAAGGAAAGTCTTGCACCTCTCAGGACGCCGTAATTCTTGCAGTAGTAGTAGAAAAGGTGGTGCAATGTTTCCGAGGGTTGCTGCGCAAGTATCGGGTTTACTTGTCCGGGAACCTGCCCCAACACAACTCATCTGCTTGCTTGTGTAGGGGCTCAATGTACTCCCCAAAACAAGCAAAGTCTCAGAATGAGCCACTCTCACCTTCAGCAATGATAATAGCCCCCCACCGCTCTCATAAGAAACATTCCCAATGTACTATCCTTGAATCACGGGGTGACGGGGTGGAGTACTTGTTGTGAGGGGCCAGGGGGCTTCATATTGAGGAGTGAAGGTACGACACCTGTGCGAACAAAGGAGTTCAAAAGCTACAGGCCGTGAACCACCTAAACCCTAAACCCCTCTTAGGGTTTATGGCTGAGGATTCAGGGCCAAGTTTAGGGCTGAGGTTTTGGGTTTAAGGCCTTCCGCCTGCCTTGAACTTCGCAGTGTCCATGGTCTTCCATTTGTGCACGTCCTCGGTACATGCCCCTAGGGCTCCAAATGGCCCAATGTAGGAAACCTAAACCCTAAACCTGAAACCTTTATATAGACTTTGTGTCAATGTAGGCATGTGGGGAGTAGGGTTTAGCGACCCAAACAGCCCAATGCAGCTAATATCTGTAGACTTTGGGTCCAATGTAGGTATGATCTTTAGACATGCAGCCCCAGGGTAAGGGACCCCATCAAGAACTGTAGAGTGGTTTAAGTTTAAGGCTCAGGTCTAGGGAATTTTGTTGACCTCGCGTTTGAAGCCTGCGCCCTCGCAACGTACACCGTTTGCCAAGCTTTTGATTGCTATGCCTCCTGCTCCGTTCGTGTTGGTATTGTTGGGATCAAAAAGGCTTGGGACATATTCGCTGCAGTTGTGAAGGCTGATGAGGGACAAATTAGTACAAAGGCGGTTACCGTATGGTTTTGGGCTGCGATGGGCTTTCTCGACCTGGAACGACCTTAAGGACCGTAATAACAAACAAGGTTCCCGAGAAATTGTCGTTACAGCCCTTAAGGATTACCTAGGGAATATGTTGAGAACCTGCGTAGTCAAAGGCATTCTCATTCTTCAAGAAGCAGCGCTGAATCTAGAGCAGAACCTGGGCCTGGTTGTAACATCCATCTAGTCACTGCCCTGGGGTGTACAGCTTAGGGTACCGGAGGTTTACTAGGGATATACATGTCCCCAATCATGCAGAATGAAATGGACAGGAAATCGAAATGTAAGCTGGGGTTATAAAGGGAATATAGCGGTCCAAGTATACAAATGATCCAGTAATGAAGAATCATATGGAAACCAAAATGGAAAATGAAAATGGAATCTGTACAGTAGTTATAAAGGGAATAGAGTCAGAGGGATCCAATTAGCCCTGTGGTCTGAATCCCTGATAAGCCACATAGTAGCCCCAGTTATCCGCATTCATTGATAATCTGCTTACCACGCCCCCCTGACCCTCCGAGTAGCCTCTGACCTGCAGTCTTCTTGGGCTTGGGGCTGGGAGTTGCCTACACGGTTTAGGGGGGGTGAGGTTTTAAGGGTTCGGGCCTTTAGGCTTTACCCAGGGCCTCCCATGTAGTTTTTCCGGTCGTGTACTATCAACGTTTACGCAACTAGCATAACAAACCCAAGACGAACTGCAGAGGAGCCCCAGGGTAAAGTTCGCCTTAAACGAGCTTCACTTAGGGGGAACTTAAATAAGGTAGTATAGGGCTGGGCGGGTAGTAGAACCAATAAAACACTCAACATGCTCTCAGCATCACATGGAATCAAGGCCCACGTGTTAGAACGTTTAAAAGGATATTTGCGAAGCCTTAAACCCAGACCCCTGGGAGGATCTAGAAAGTAGAACAACCAAAATGGTACCCTATACTACTATGGGGTAATTCCTAGGAACCCTTAAAGAGGTTCTACTTTCTAGATCCTCCCAGGGGTCTGGGAAGGGAACAGCAGCCTGTAACCTGAGAGCTGAAGCGCTAGAACCCTCACCCTCCCAAATCCTTCATCCAGAGTCTTCGTTAGGGTTTAGGGTTTAGGGGTTTAGGGTTTAGGGATTTCTTTCTACAGTAAACATTGTAGACCCTACGTACTCAGCTTCCCCGCCGTCTCTCCCTCCCCCTCTCTCTATCTCCCTCAATGGGCATCTAGAAGCACATGAACTGCACATTGATCTACGTTACCTAGACATCCTCTAAAACCCAGCATTTCGGATGCTTCTGTGCTGCTATTTGGCTGAGCGGCACTTATGTGGAGGGATTCCACCTGCCAGTTCTTGATGAGCTTCTGCACCTCAGAAGTAATTCTAGTACTGTACTGGAAAGTGGCAACTACATGAAGCTACTAGTGTTATGTGGACGTTCCCGATATTTGGGGGCCCTGGTTTTGTGTTCATAAGGATTCGAGCTATTTGGGGGCCATGTAGAGCCCAATGCATGGAAACTGCCATATGGGCCATTCAGA